TTCATCATTATTATTGATTTTTTTTGGTTTTTCGAGACAGAGTTTCTCTTTATTGTTTTGAAGCCTGTCCTGAAACTTGCTTGGTAGACCAGGCTGGTCTCGAACTCACAGAGATCCGCCTGCCTCTGCCTCCCGAGTGCTGGGATTAAAGGTGTGCGCCACCACCGCCCAGCTTCATCATTATTTTTTAATATGATCAATTGCAGCGTTGGATCTATATGCTAAGCCAATTTGACATTCCAGGACAAACCACTTGTCCTGCCCTCTATGTCTTGTTGATACCATCTATTATGTATGCTCAAGAGAGATGTTGGTCTATGGTTTTCCTTTTTATATGTTTTCTAGTCTTAATATCAGGGTCATGCTGTCTTTCTAGAATAAGTTAATTGCAAACTGTTAGTGCCTCTCCAGTTTTCTGGAAGTGTTTGTGTAAAATTGATAACATTAAAAAAAAACCCATTCGATACATTGGACCAAATGGATTATTTATAGATTTTTGATTCATCAAATTTTCTTTTTCTTCCTTTTTTAAAAAATTTTAAGTTAGAAAAAAGCTTGCTTCATATGTCAATCTCAGCTCCCTCTCCTTCCCCTCCTTCCCTGCCTCTCCTCACCAGGCCCTCAGCTCCCTACCCAATCTCCACTCTGACCCCCCATGGGGGATCTCTAGAGTCTGTCATTTCATCCAGGGCAGGGCCTAGGCCCTCCCCCAAGAGTCCAGGCTGAGAGAGCATCCCTTATTGTGGGATGGGCAGCCAAAGTCCATTTGTATGCCAGGGATAAATACTATCCTAGGCCCCATAGATTACCTAGGCCTCCTCACTGACATTCAGGGGTTTGAGTCAGTCCCATACTGTCTACACAGCCTTCAGTCTGGGGTCCAAGAGCTCCCCCTTTTTCAGGTCAACTGTTTCTGTAGGTTAAACCAGCCCAGTCTTAACCCCTTTGCTCATCAATTCTCCCTTTCTGTCACTGCATTCGAGGAGTTCAGTTCATTGTTTAGCTTTGAGTATCTGCCTCTGTTTCCATCAGTCACTGGCTGAAGGTTCTGTTTCCCAGACTCTCTGGAAGTGGGATTGTATGCTGGCACTCACCTGATTCATGTCTAAAATCCATATATGAGTGAGTACATACCATGTTTCTCTTTTTTGACTGGGTTAACCTCACTCAGGATTTCTTCTTGCATGAGTTTTGATGCATGAGTTTTCATATTTTACAAGAAATTTGTTTATTCCATCTAAAGCATCAAATTGATTGGTTATGAAGTTGTTTATACTATTCTTTCAGGGCATGTAAAACTGAACCCTCCAAAGTATTGTAGATACAACAAAAACTACTTTAAAACTTTTTTCTCATTGATTTCTTCTGGTACCAGTTGGGTAATATAGAAATAAATTATTTCGTTTCCAGGCAACTGAGAATTTTCTTAGAGATTGTATGGATTCCTAATTTACTTATACTTTGGTTAGAAAACATAGCTTGAATGGCTTGAATTATTTTAAAATCATTTGTACCTTTTAATTCTTTAGACTATTGTATCTGTTGATAAATAGTCCATGTATTACTGAAGAAAATCTGGTTAGGCTGTTTGGGAATTAAGTGTTGCTTCAGCCTTTTATGCTTGTTTTGTCTATTCTTGGTCGGGGGCTATTGAAATATTTGGTTATAATTGTGGAGTTTAAGTGCTGTTCATCTCAGTTTTTCATTTTGAGGCTCATTATGCACCTAGACACTGACAAGTGCTGTGTTTCTGCATTGACTATTCCTTTCCTCATGATGAAAAATGAATGACTTTCTTTGTCCCTTGTAATGTTGTTTTCTCTGAAATCTACTCTGGCTGACACACTCTAGAAACTTTTTTTTCTGCTAATATAACTTTTATTTTATATTCTCTTCATTTTACTGTTTCTTCTCTTTATGTTTATAGTGGGCTTCTTGATTGTAGTACACAATTGAGGCTTGCATTTTTAAGTTTTAAAGCAAGTTGTCTCTCTTTGGCAGCTTTATGCTTATAAAGTGTGGCAGATTTAAAGAGTTTTTGTAACCCTTCACCAGATGACCTATGCTGATGTGTAATCATAGATCAGTTAAAATTAAACAATTTATTTTGAATTTTTTGTTTATAACTATACTCAAATTTCAAAAATCAGCTATTATATTCTGTTCCTCCCCCTCTATGCTTCTAAAGAATTGGTATTTCATTTACATATTCATTAAGCTGCTCCAAGTATTTCCTCTTGCTTAGGCTTCTTTATTTATGATTTTTAGTATTCTCCCCTTTCTGTGTTTCATCCTGGAAGATTTATTTTTGGGTCCTCTAGTTCATTATCCTCTTCCCCTTGCAGTATCTAACCTACCACTAATCCTGTCAAGTACGGTTCACAGATCAGTCGTTGTAAATTTTATCTACTTGGGTTTAAATTGAATTTGCTTTATAACTTTTGCATCTCAGTTTGCCATGTTTATTTTTTACCTCAAGATGAAAAAAATACACAGACCAGAGGATGGGGGAGATGGCTCAGTGGGTAAAAGCACTTGGCTCACAGTAATGAAGACCTAAGTTCAAATCTCCAGGACCCATTTAGAGGCCAGGCATTGCTGTAGGCATCTGTAACTCTATAGTGTTGGGAGTAGGCTCTTGCTGACCACCCAGCTTAGACAAGCTTAGGGAACTTCAGGCTCAGAAAGAGAGAGAGAGAGAGAGAGAGAGAGAGAGAGAGAGAGAGAGAGAGAGAGAGAGAGAGAGAGACAGAGAGAGAGAGAGAGAGAGAGACAGAGAGAGAGAGAGAGAGAGAGAGAGAGAGAGAGAGAGAGAGAGAGAGAGAGAGAGAGAGAGAGAGAGAGAGTCTCAACAAGTAAGGGGAGTAAAAAAAAGAAGGAGAAAAACTGGCCTCCAAATGTGCATGCCCTGGCAATTTTGCTTCAACTTTTGGACAACAGTAGTCAGTCTTTCCCGAGTAAAGCATAAACACGGCTACTGTCTGGCATGCCAAACTTGGGTTCCTCAATTTGATGCTCTTCTTCGGTAATGATTACCTGGCATCTTTGCACCTCTTCGTAGAACCTGTGCAAATCGAGTTTCAGGGAGTGGGTGGAATAAATGTTTATCCTTTTCTACTGCTGTTTTTGTTCCTGACCCAGAAGCCTTGTGTTCTCTGCAAGTGTCTGTGAGGCTGACAGATGAACTGCTAACATATAGGTAAAATTTCATATCCTTCATAATTCTACACATAAAAATTTTCCTTTGTATAAAATATGCTAGATCTCTGTGTCAATTTAGGCAGACTCAATAGAAGAAAGTCTGTATATTTTTTATGTTAATACCCCAATGTATATTGGGTTGAATGAGTTTCTGTAAGGCTACTAACTATCTTCATGTCTGAGGACCGGAGTTAGAAGTTATCTAGGAAGGCAACCACAAAGAAAAAAGGAATATAAAGTTAGCACAACAAGGTCTGACTGGAGCACTTGAATATGAGGTAGGGTCTACAGGAATAGGCTGGATTTCATGCCAGCCATTACTGCCTTCAACTTTGAAGCAGTGAGAAGCGGTTCCTTCATCTTGGAGTTAGGCACATCTGGACCAAGCATCAGAGAATGTGATTAGAGGCACCAAATGAAGCCTGAATATTTGCCTATCTATGAAGGATGTCCACAAAAAGACAAGAGTGCATATTCCAAACATTTCAAGTTGTGCCTTGAATTCTCAAAGGCCAGCAATGATGATGATGATGATAATTTATATCCTGTTTCACATTCTTTCTCTAGTAACACAAAAAAGTAAAGAAAAGATAAGAAATAAAGAGTCCTTAACTCCAACTGGGAATACATGGAAAGGAATTATTATTGGTAATATAATTTATCCTAACCAGGCAGACAGATGATGGAATCACTTCCCACCTTAGCATTTGAAAAGAGAGAATTGAAAAGACACAGAATGGAGTCAGTGTTCTGTTCTGCCTGCCCCTAAGTTATCTTTGGTCACTGTCCTGTGGGTCTATGCCGTTCCTGACCAGATCTGCACTGGCGTGCTGCTTAGCTGCTTTGCAAGGGTGATGCAGAAAACATGCACAGCTCTTATAACCCACGAAGATGGGGAGAGAGCCCCACAGACCTAGAGCCCAGCCTGTTACCCATTTGCTTCGGCCCGTCAGTTCCATTGCCTACAACACACCTGCCTCCCTTTGGGACCTTCCAGCCCCATCATCTTCTCTAGCTTACAGTGACGTCACCGGAAAGGAAGCCAGCAGCCCGCTATTCGTTATTACATCAGCAAATTACAAACGTAGATTTAAGGCTGGAGAGATGGCGCAGCCAGTAAAGGCTAGGCTCACAACCAAAAATAAACGCAGATTTAATTTTTTTAAAATCTAAGAAGTCATTAAAGGAAAGAAAACCATGAGGTGATGTTGTTGGTTAGATTGCTGAGCTTTTCTGCACACATAGCCTTTTTTGTTGCATTCTTTTCTTTTCTGACAAATCTATCTGAGGACAAAGAACCAGGTTAGATTGTGCTTTGAATAAAAAGGTTAGAGTCTTCGAATTTGGGTTCATGCACCAGAGTTAAAATGCATTTAACAAAAAAGGCTATCTTGATTGTTCCCCAAGATGGCAAAGAAGCCCGAATCATTACTAACAGCTGCTCTTATTATTTTGGAATAGTATTCATCTGTAAAATTCTTCCCTGGGGCTCCATAAATCGCTGCAGAGTTCCCTCAGGGATTATGTGGAGAAAGCCGGCTTTCTGTGCTTTTCCTTTTTCATGCTGGCTGTGACTGACTCACGGCACAGAAAACATCTAGCTGGGAGCACACATTTCTGTGGGTTTCTGACAACCCTAAGCTACAGGAACACACACACACACACACACTCACACACACTCACATTCAGGTGTTTATTCTTATTTCAACACAAAAGAACTTAAAATGACACAATGAGAAACGTTATGGACAGCCACTTAGTGCAGTCTGCCAGGAAAAAAAAATAGTGTCATAAGGATGTTTGTTTATCTATTTATTTTTGATTAACTGACAGCTCTGCCTGTGTTCTTCTGGGAAGCCACAGTGCAGGCTGGCCAAAGGATGACTAGAGAAGTTCTCCAGAACCAAGTAAACAAGCGAAAGCGTGGGAGGTAGCGAAATTCTTATACGCCAATTTCCTCATTGTAAACTGTTTGGAAGACGCTTCCTCCGGGCAGACTGGATGCCCCATTCTGTCTTTGCCTTACAGGATCCGGGAGCTGAGAGCGCAGGCTGCTGCAACACTTTACTTCACAAAGAAGTTTCCAGATGGAAGAGGACAAGTGCCATCCGTGACTGATCTTCCTGACAAAATGACATTGTCTTCTCAGTGTCTCTGAAAGCTTGATGACCCTCAGTGTCTCCTGGAACAAAGAAGTCAGTAGAACAGGGTGAAAATGTTACAGGAGGCATGGAAGAAACACAAAAGACAGATGACAAGGTGACAATTTAAACACAATCCACGGAATAAGAGCCTCCTCCGCAGCCGCACACCTACCAACACCTGCCCTTTTGTTAATACATAAAAGACAGCGGTGCTGCAACTCCTTAAGCTCCTTGGGGAGGGGATTACATACAGTGTGCTGGCTCCTGGGAAGATTTCACCGGACAGGGCCTCGGCCACTCTTATTTTACCTTCATCAACCTTTGTGTTACCGCCTCCCCACCCCAAATCCTGCTTATTCAAGTCTTCTAACTCTGCTTCATTTCTCCCTTTACTTCTAGACTCAGAAATCTCAAAGTAGTTAACCAGTGAATTACAGATAATCCATGTGTACTTGGGAAGATGGTAGAGGGACCTCCTGAACTTGGGGACTGAATTCAAGCCAATATTTGGAGAGATAGGAGCACAATCCTGCAAGCATCCACCAGTTCTGTTCCTTCCTTATGTAACGCCCTCTCTGAACTTTCAGTCAACGGTAACTGCTGTTGAGGGCTTTGGTGTCTGACCTGGCAGTGATGGAGGGTACGTATGCTCTTCGGTAGTTCACCCATTTGCCATGTTTAAAATCCTGCCCCGAGGGGAGAGTTCTTTATTTTAAGCATTTCTCCTTGGTAATGAAAAAAATAGCATTAGAATGAATAAGACAATGGATTCAAATAACTTAATGTAAATGAGTTATTCATTTCAGTTTCTCTAATGGAAGACATGCAGTCATTGAATAAAGATCAGAGGAAGGAAAATCCATCAATGAAGCCCTGAAAGAAAGAGATGAAGAACCATCAGTGGGAGGCAATAATTATCTTAGCAAATACCATTTATGTGATCTATTTCTTTCCCTTCTGGACACCGGATAGAGAAGATGGAGATAATGGGTCTCCTAGTTCATGCCACATTATTATCACTCATCACTGACTAAAGGAAGACCTTTGCTTTATTTTATAATTTTATTATTTTAGTGTGTGTGTGTGTGTGTGTGTGTGTGTGTGTGTGTGTGTGCAAGTGCTCTACTAATAGTCTAAGCTGACTGGTCAGTGAGCACAGGTATCTACTTTTATTTGCCTCCCCAGTGTGAGAATTCTAAGCCTACACTATCATGCCTATTCTTTTCTTCTTCTCTTCTTTTCCTCTCCTTTCTTTCTTTTTTTTCTCTCTCTCTCCCTCCCCCCCCCTCTCTTTCTGTTTCTCTCTCCCCCCCTCATTTCTGTGTGGTCACCATGTAGGTATAAGTATGTACAACACAGCATGTATGAGGAAGTTGTTGAGCAGGGTTTCTTAGCATAAACCAGTTGCTGGCCCATGAATATATGGAGATTCTCCTGTCCCCATAAAGGCACATTGGCATTGCAGACAATAACAGTGTTGTGCCCTTTTACTTGGGCTCTGGGGATCTGAATTCAAGTCATCATGTTTGCACAGTAAAAGTTTTTAACCTGTGCTCCATCTCTATAGACTCAATGCATGCCTTTTTTCCCCACAAAATTTTGGGGCTCAAACACAGGTTCTTTTCCTTGTGACCAAAACATCACTACAAACATTTTTATTTTTAAATTTCCCATCTTATTTCCAACTCTTGTTTTCATCCTAGCCCTTCTAATGTGTCAAATTTGTAGCTTTTGTGTAGACTTGTTCTTTCAAAGGGCATATTATTTAATATGTGTTGACATTGTATTTCATTCTATTTTCCAGTCTTTTGACTTGACCCCATGTTTCAGATCCATGCTGCTGAGAACATACCCACTCCTTTGCCTATAGCTTCCTCAAGAGATGCTAATAACCCTGTGTGCTTTCTCAGAGATGTACACCCAGATCATTTCCAGTCACCTCACTTCAAAGGTTGCTGAAGTTGAAATACAGGGACCATTAAAGAACTGTGAGGGAGTAGAGAGTGAGGACAGTTAGAAGACAGAGTTTTAAAGCTTCATGGTAGCTAGTTTTTCACTCTAGGATTAATACTAGCATAATAGCTTTTGAAGCAGACACCAGCCGTGAATTCACCTGGCCATCCAAAGCCCACAGGCTCCAGCCTCGTTCTGATGCTGCTGCTCTGGGCTTGAGACACTGAGGATAATACTGAACTGGGGAGACGTCTCAGTAGGTAAAGCATTTGCCATGACAAGTGAAGGCCTGAGGTTGAATTCCCAGTACCTATGTAAATCCAGATGCGGTAACCTGCATCTGGAATCTCAGTGACCCTGAGGCAGGAACATCCCAAGAAGCTTGGTGACCAGCCAACTTTGTGTACAAAGCAGTGAGCAACAAGGAGTCCCTCTCTAACACAAGTTGGAAAATGAAGACTGGTACCCACAGTTGCCTCTTGACCTCTTAAATGCACATTGGCATGCACACTTCCATACTTTCACAACTGAGTGTGTTCATGTGCGCACATGTCCCCACATCCCCCACATGGTGTGAGGGGGGTCTTCAGAAAACCCCTACTTCAATCCCTTTCCATTCTGGGTAGAGCAAGTTTGGGATGTCACACAAAGAACTGAGAAGAGCACTGTAGTCAGCAGAGTTCATACCAAGCTCTCCATTCTTTCCTTCATGATCATACACATCCTATCTGAGGTTTTCCCTCTTTTTCATATGTAAAGTGTGATGATGATATTAACTATAACCTCACACTTAAGATAGAGCAGCAAACAAACAAATGCCTCAATGCAAATATTCTGACCTTATTACCAGCAATTCCACCTAGATTGGATCAAAGATGTAAATACTGTTTTATCATGACACATCATTCTTCTCTTGAGCAGAACCAGCAATATACATGGAGGCCATGTTTAAAGAAGCGAGGCAGATCATGGTGATACTTTTGGTAGGAAGAAAAGGGGACTTTTCTGTGTTGGGGGTCGGGGAGGCATTCTCAAAAATAGTTCCATCCTACCTTAATAGCATCAGAAACCAGAGATTTCTGGACACCTCTCCAGAATTGTTGCTGCAGTGTATCTGAGTGGGGGTGACATTTGAAATTTTGTACCTGTAATGCATTCTTAGATGGTGCTGAACACCACATTTAGAACCCCCTGCCCCTTCTAGAGTACCAATAGCTCACCATCAAGGCAGAGATCTCTCCATGTCTGTCATGTCTTCACGTTAAACTGTGTAATGGGCAGGCTGTGAGAGGATGGATGTAAAGACTTTCCTTTTTTCCAGAGGGTCTGCTTCCTGGCAAAAATCACCACATGGGAGAGAAAAAGAGCGACGTGTGAAATGGACAACAGGAAACAATTACACACAATTATTAAACTTCTTCACTATTTTTATTGCCACGACCTAACCAGGTCAAACATCCTAGAAGAGGGATATGTGACCCACAATATCATGCCCCAGTGTCGAAGGTTGTATGCTCCTAGTAGAAAGTTCAGTTCAAAAAATTGGCCTAAAATAATAAAGAGCTATTTTTTTTCTTTTTTGGACAGTACTTCACGCATTTACAGCAAAATGCAGTAGATGAAGGGTTCAGACATGGACTAGGATTGAAATCCTTTTGTCTCAAGAGTAGCTGATATTTATTGAATACTTTCTGTTCACAATGTGGTGCACCACTAACTTCATATGTATTACTTTATGCAACCCTGAGCTTCAAATGGATATTTAAAAAACCAAAACATCGGCAGAAGGACTTGTCTGAGGTTGATCATAATGGAGATGTGTTGTCTAAGATTTGTTTCCCTCAACCATATGATACCAGACAATTATAAAACACCCTCCTTACTGTTCACATTCAGAAAATGATATCTCCCAGGGATAAAGCATGAAGAAATGGCACTAAGTGCCACAGAGAAAAGATGGGTTGTACTTACAGAACATCACTTTCCTTTCATAAAACAAAACAAAGTCTATATTCCACAAACTTACCAGTACCTGTTTAATCTCTTTGTGTTTCTAATTCTTAAGGGATTATTCTAATATCTTATCAAAAAATGATCATGTGTTCTTTTTTTTCTCTCTCTGATGACACACAAGGAACTAATCACATGTATTTTAATTTGGCATGTAAGCCTATGGCAGCTGTCCCGGTGTTATATAGTTAAATAGAAAAAGACTGCCTGGCTCAGTCTGCCTTTGCATCTGATGGGATTAAGCTTCATCAGAAAGGGTCGATTTCTTCACCACAATTTTTGGGATCCATGACATTCAGATTTGCATCTCCAGTTTGGGGTGAAACATATACATGTTTTGTGGAGATGTAAACACAAGTATCACTGCAGACATTTTTCTCCTATCTGTCACAGCCACAGTAATTAGCAGCACACCCATTCCTTAGCTCCCTCTGTGTGCTAGATAAGATAGAATGAAGGTTATCAGTAATTCCCAGAGCTGGCTCTAACCACACCTCTTTCCTTCCAGTCAAGAAAGCACTCAGAGTGCAAGCAAGGATGATGACGTTCCCATAGCAATTATTTGGAATCTAATCTGATTTAGTTCTTAAGAAGGAATTATTTCCAAACAGCAGCACTGTCTTATTGATAAATTATTGATGTGAGCACTTCCTCCTGATCACCTCTGTGACTAAGAACCACAGGACCTTTCCCGCAACCTCTCATTTGTCATCTTGGGCTCAGGTGACCTTTACAATAATCTTTCTAGATCCATTGAATTGAAGTAGGTCATGCTATTCAATTACTTCTAACTTCTGTCTAGATCACTAATCTAGAAGGGGGGGTCTCAGTGTGTTATAGTCATTTCCTGGAAAAAATATTTAGCGCTGAGATGAAGAAAACAATTTCTAGCCTTTTCCCCTGCAGACTGATGAAAGATCTGGAAGGTGTAAGGTTCTGGGTGGCAGGTGATGGCCTCAGTCTCAGAAGGTGGAGATGACAGGGACCACTGATGTGTAGGTGTCAGGATCCTTTAAATGGAGAAATCTTTTAGAATACATTATTTTCATTTTTATATGAAATATTCTACCCATTAACTTTTTATTTATTGTCTTTTAAGGTTCTTGAAAACCCAACGGGGAATTTTAGATGCTTTGAGTCTTTATAAGGACAATGTAATATTTCGGTTACAATTTCCCTTTTGAAATATCTTATTTACTTGGTATTTGTCCTATCTGTTCTGGCACAAAAAGGTATCAAAAACAGGATATTCTCCCTAAGCCTTCTTTTAGCTATAATGTGGCAAATGACAATCCAGCTTGTACAATTTTTGATATGGAAGTCTTGGAATTTCCACACGTAGGTTCCAAGCCAACAAAAATACACAGAGACGGAAAGCAGGGAAATTTTGATCTCTGTTGCCTTACTTCACCAGACTACTCCTCTGCAGATAACACTTGCCCAACAGGATACTTGATTTTAAGTGTGATTTGGAAATGGAAAGCTAGTTTTGTGAACTCAGAGGAAAATATGATAAAAATAGTTTGCATCAGATGATAGCACATCCCGAGAATGGGTGGTCCTTAAGTTATCTATGAGGCTTTCCTCCACTTTCTGTGGTACAGGAAGACCAAAAAAGGTCTGGGTTTTGGATGAGCTGAGATTGTTTTGAGAGTAGACACAGTAGAAAGAACAGTCAGTGGAGACACAGATACCTTAGCTTCTAGTGCTGATGTTCTCATTACCTAGCCATATGCCTCTGAGCGGGCCAGTCGGTCTCTCTGATCCTTGCTTTTCTCTTTCTGATGGAAAGAAAACATTTGTGGGTCCTGAATTCCTTGACTTTATAGTAGCCAATACACCTGGCAAACATTAGTCATTCTCTTCTATATGGTCATATTCCAGTACTTGTCATTACCCATAATATCACTAACTAAAAGTTTTACAACAAGGTTCTCCTTCTCTGTGTCTTTAATTCACTTACTATGTTACAATGCCACTTTAACAGGTCTTTGGCTCCATTTTTACTGTCCTTGCGTTGTATATTACTGGTGGTCAGGGTCTGCTTCAGGTGTTTTGAGGTTCTTGGCCTCCTATTCAGAGGATTGAAACAAAGGCAAAGAAAGATTGCAAAGTTTCAGGAAACAACGTTAATTAAAGTGAAGGAATAGCTCAGACTAGAAAAGAATACACTATCAAGATTGACAGCAGGGCCCATAAGTTAAAGTGCTTGGGGGTCCTGATCATTCTTTGGTGCCTCCTTTCAATGGGTGCAAGCGAAAGAGGAATTTGGTTACTGGCATCCTAATTTAGGGGGTCTCCATTTTGAATGACAGGCTAGTATTTTATAACCTCTTGCACACCACATGCCTATTCCCAAAATGCATCTGATTTTAATCATGTGCACGCGCAGTAATGCCTAGGTGTAACATGCTAAGTCAGGAATTTTTTAAAAGTGGACTTTGAAGAGAGAGCTTGTCTTATTGCACAGTATCCCAAACAGACTAACCAGATATGCCTACTGTTCTGTATTTTGGGATTCTATTCCAGGATGTATTTGAATAAAAACTGGCAGTCACCAAGAAGTTGCCAAAAGGAGTAAGTTATTTCCATCATTACATGCAGCTCTACACAAGTGGGCTCCCAGGCTGTTAGGTGCATTGTTCAAAAATGGCTATGTGTATAGTCAAGCTGGGTGGGGTCCAGGTTGCTAAGATATTCTTTATACTTGCCTGCTTTACCTGTATACCATGTTTCAGACTTAATAACCTTCTCCCTCCACTTCCCTATTGTCTTCATTTTGCAAACCCTCAAACTGTTAATCCGACTTGTCCCCATGTTGAACCTGTACACCTCAGCTAAACCTGCTAGAGTGAAGTCAGCTAGTCTTTCGGATGCATGGCCACTTAACATACTTACGTCATACCAGTCACTCATCCCCCTCATGACTATTTTGAGATGGAGCCATGCTATGTAGCCCGGATTGACCTTGAACTTGCTCCTGTTTCCTGAGTGCTAGTATTATAGGTGAAAACCATAGCCAGTTTACAATCCCACCTTTTAAAAACAGACTGAAAGAACAGTTCATGGAAGAAAATACCAACTCACTACCCTCTGATGCCATGATTATTTCTACTGGTGTTTTCTCTGCCTCATTGATGTCCCATTGCTGATCTATTTGCTCTTTGCCTTTCTTCATTTCAACCCACTAGAATATAAATTCCAAGAGAGGGGTGTATCTGTCACCACTGTATTCTTGAGCTCCTAACCCAGTAGATATTACAGAAGAGTTAATTAATTTGCATTTTGTTGCCAATCTTAGCATAGAGGGGGAGTAGACATACATGTTCAAGAGTTCAAATAGAAACATTAATATATGCAGAGTAAAGCCAAGAGTCAAAAGCTTGCTGCCAATGGCTGTAACCCTTCCTAAAACATAAAAAGTAACAGATGACTTAAAGATATGAATTGAGGTTGGCTTTTTTTTTTCAGTCCTGGGGACTCAACCCAGGACTCTGAGCATGCAAGGTGGACATGCTACCACCAAGCAGTGATGAACTAGTATTTTCTACAAAGAACACAAAACTTTCAAGAGAACCTCTGTTACTTTGTTTACAGCTGTAAGTCCTGAGATAGAGATCTTTGAGCAAGTTGACCACAGTTCTTTGGCTGTTCATTATTTGATCTAGAAGTCATCATGATGAAAGAGAAAGACTTGGAGACTACTGGATGTTCCCCCTTTTTACTTTGCAGATGAGGACATTTTGACCTCATATTACTCTTTCATCTGCAGAAGACGAATAAAAAACCTTGCTCCCTTTTCTCTGACTACTTCTCTTTTTCTTCATGGACCTTAAACATGTTAAAATGTTTTTAGCATTTGATGCTCAGCTGCAACTCTTAAAAGGTTGTAGTTTCCAAAAAGAAAATTTAAGTGCTGTTTATGAAAGATTAGAACCTTAATCTATCATATAAAATCATCATATTTTAAGGGAAGATTTCCAAAGGCATTATACCTTAGGAAAGCATACTTGTGATATAATCATATGGCAGAAAAATATAATTTCTTACTTCTTTTATGTGCTAAACTCTGACCCCCCCTCCCCATACATGAGTCATTTATAAGTGGATACAATACCCATGGTTTACAATAATTCCTTCCCGATACTTCGGTTGTTAATTTTTATGTGTTTACTCATCTGTGCTTACTGCAAGCTCATGACATGCCTTCGCCAAGCCTCCCCTTGCTAATGTAAACACGTGTTTTACAATCATTTAGAATGGGTGAAGACCTGAATGTTTTCTCAAATCCTCCCTGTGAGAACTGGAGTTTATTGGGGTGAGATTGCATGACTGAAGGGGGTGAATGGGGATCTAATCAAAAGAATTCCCCTTTGGGTCCACAGGAGACAGCTTCTGGATCACAGCGGAGGTTCACAAGCTCAGGGACTTCACAAATTTCCCTTCTAAGCTACAGTGGAGGCCAAATGGAATTCTACATCTGGATTCACAGTGAAGTTGCTAAGGTATTCCCATACTGTCTACTCGCACCTTTTGTTTGTGGGTAACTACAGAAGATTTGGAGTGCTTGGTGTAAGTTCGTAGGGTATTAAAATATGAAACAGTAGCTCTAAAGGTGGTACTATGAAACCATTAGTCAGCACTGAGAAGCGGGTACAGACTCAGGTCATAATGCTTACCATAGTCAAACTGTCCCATTAGAATTCAGTTCCATGATGGCATTAGTGCATGAAGGAAAGGTGGAACTCTCTTGCAGACAGGAAGCTTGGCTGAGTAGAGTGTATCATGTAGAGATCCCTGGGTAAGGAAAGCTGGTTTCAAACTCAGCTCCTGGTGCTCATTGTCAGGATCACATAGTGTCTGACCTTGCTCAAACAATCAAACTGCATTTCCTACTTCTCTCCTAGCTCAAAAGCAATGATCACAACACACTTTAACTGACTGGTTAGGTGAAGTATTGCAAAAGCATGAAGTGTTACTAGAAACTGAAAGAAAAGTCTGAAATTATTGCTGCAGAAGGAATGTCTCATTTATTTTATGTGACTTCATAGACACATAAACAGATGCAACATCAGGGCAGGTGAAATTTGAAAATGAGCATGAATGACTCATAAGGGCTGAGTGGTAAAAATCTGCTGAGACAGTGCTACCCATGTTAGGGATAGTATGATAATTTCAAGGCAAGAGGAGTTTGTAAAAAGTCACAGGAGGATGTTAGTAGAGACTATGGAGGTCATCCCAAGGAAAGCTGAAATAGACAAGATCATCTCTGCTCAATTGAATTACTGTATGCAGACAGGTGGCATGTATAAAGCACTAATAAATAATAATAAAAGAGTTATATAGAAGCAAACGGAGCTTCAGAGAGGTTTTGTAGCTTTGTTAGAGTAGTGATTCTCAAATGAGGAAGGATCTGGCATTATGGAATCCACCAAATTGTTTTCTTCACTTCCTCTGTTGTATTTACTATTCCTCTCTCCCAACAGGAATTCTTGTTCCATTTACTTGGGTGAGAACTGATTCCAAATAGCATGGGTGTGAGTGATTCCAGTACTTACTTATTTTTGAATGTCAAAGAAATGAATTTAAAATTTCTTACTTGCCTTTAATCTACCCCAAAGTTGAGTAGCAGTGGTATGTGGCCAATAGACCTCTTTCATGATATGTACATTGGTAAAGTCCCCTAGATTACTTATTCAGCAGCTAATTCCATTGATCACAGGAGATGTCATCATAGCTCTAGAACAAATTCCTCAACTACCTTTTTCTACTTGCCTCTGAGTGGGAGCCACAAACATTTGCAAGAGGAAGTCCAGAAGTCTCTCTTGCCAGGCAGATTTCAATTTATGACCTTTGTCATATGACACAGCACTGTTTAGGTTACATGTGTCTTGGAACTTGACAATTTTTTGCAGAATTATTATTTTTCATGTGGCACTTTTGTACTGTGGTCAGTATACTGAAAGTTTCTTATCTAGATTTTTAACTTTTATTCTTCCAATTCTTTGTAGTCATTATATGTAAAACCATGCATAATATATTTAAGGAGTGGAAACAACTATGCATAAGAACTAGTCCTTGGCCATGAAGGGAACTGATATTGCAATGTGGGAGGTAGACCTGCACGTGTATAATACAAGGAAGTGGCTATTCCGGTTTCTTTTTGATGGGCAAGCATTTTGTGAGGACACAGGCTATGTGTGTGTAAGACTCACAGAGACAGTTAATTGAGTCTTCTAGAAAGTCATTTCTCTAGGAGGAGACAATAATAAAAATTGGTTATCATTTCATCCCCTAAACAAATGCAAATCTGTTTACATGCTCAAACTAGACATGTGTCTAAATAATGTAGCCAAAGAAATTCTCTGCAGAAATTTTTTAGACAGATCCCATGTTTTTGCATTCAAGTCTGCAAAAACACTTCCAGGCATCAAGCAATGGGCCAAAGATCTGGGAAGTCCTCAAACAAAAGAAAAATTAATTCCCTTAGTTCTGCATCAACATCCTTCATTTTCTAGTTCAGAAAATTATGTCAGAGAGTTGATTTTTGTGTCAAAAATACATTTATGAATAGAAAACCTTAAAATTAATAAGTTATGCTTTCTCACATTCTAAATGAGTGACTCATCCAAATAAAGGATATTTTCCTTTTTGTCAAAAGAGAACGGTTTCTGTTTTTTTTTAAATTACAAATACAGTCCTTAATGAAGAAAAACCAGTGGCTATTTACCCAGTGATCTCTGTCTCTGTCCCTCCCTCCCTCCCTCCCCACCTCTGTCTGTCTGTCTGTCTGTCTGTCTGTCTGTCTGTCTGTCTGTCTGTCTCTCTCTCTCTCTCTCTCTCACACACACACACACACACACATGTTGAGGGCAGTTTCATTTTGCAATGATCTTTGTCTCTTATCTTCTCAGGAAGATAGCCCTTTCAGAGTTGAAAGTCAGGAAAAATCTGAAAGTCAGGGAAAACCTGAGATTTATGGACTTGGAAGTGTCTTGTTTTCCAGGACGCGGAGTGACTTCAGGCCTGAGAGCAACTGAAGGGGTTAACAGGGACTTGGCTGCCTGTCAGTTAAACTTTTTCTCTGGCTCTGCCCTGGGTTTCCCCTTGAAGGGATTTCCCTCCGCCTCTCCAGCAAGACCCTTTATAAAGAGCAGACTTTCTATTTCACTCACACCAGCGTGGCTGGCCTTGGGAGCCAAACACTTTTCCCAGACACTTTCACGTGGGGCACAAAGAAGGCTTTGGAGCTTCCATTTCGTCACCACAGCAGCGACTTGAAATGCCTAAGAAGATGGTCACGATCTTGGGAGCCTTAACGGTACTTTGGATCCTGTTTGCAGCCTGTAAGTCCCTGACCTCTTTTGCAGGTCCACAGCTTTGGTGTACTATAAAGTTTTGCTATAAAAGCCAGTATTGTCGGAGCTGCAGACGGATGTTTCGGATGTTTCATGATACCACTTTTCTAATGTTAAATGAGCAATTTGGATTTTTGTCAGTAGTGGGTCTATCTCTTTAGTTTCCTGTACTTGGCAACGAAGTCAAACTTAGAAAAGAACAATATAGCTTTGTGCAATGGGCTTCAAAGTGAGAACTGAGCGTTCTTCACGGTGATGATTCCAGCATCTTCCTCAACAGCAACTTCTGGGCTTCGGGGCTGTCTTGCTATTAGTCTGAGACAGTAGATCACTCAGGCTGTGTTTTGAATACTGACTGTATTGCTATGCAAGAGAGAAAGTACACAGCGTGAGACAGACCATGCTAAAGTTGTTTTTCTCTGTCTTGCTGTTTCAGCTCAAGCTTTTAAACTCGACATCTCCCCTCAAGACAAAACGATCGCTCATATTGGGGACTATTTGTCCCTGACTTGCAACACCACAGGCTGTGAGTCTCCATCTTTCTCTTGGAGAACCCAGATAGATAGTCCACTCCATGGCAAGCCCAGGACTGAGGGGTCCAAGTCTGTCCTGATCATGGATGCTGTCAGTTTTGACAATGAACACTCTTACCTGTGCACAGCAACTTGTGGATCTGAGAAACGGGAAAGAGGAATCCAGGTGGATGTCTACTGTAAGTGCCAGAAAGAGGTTTTGTCTTCTCTTGATGTTGCTTGAAAATGATATGTGTAGCAGAGACTTTTAAGAGTATCTAGACTGTTGGCTACATGGTTTCAATAAAGCCAGAGGCAGAAGAAGCTAGCTGAGACAGAAATGCAAATCTTAACTTCTGTGTTTTTGTTTGCCATGAAAATTAGTGCCTTTGTAAAAGACTCACACCATCTTGGGTCCAATCCTTAGCCAAAATGGTTAGCTAAAAGGTCCTGTTTTTGTTTCTCTAATCTCCCATCTGGTTGTATTTTTATATGTTTGCTTGCTCATGCATCTGAAATTTAATGATTTCTCCCTTTCTGGGACTTTCCATTTACTTATTCTTATGCAACTTGGCGCTTAAGATCTGATTGCAGAATCAGGAGACCTATAAGGACACCAGTCTTCTCTTTAGCCATAACCCGAAAATCTGTGAACATTTCATCCATCTGACCCTGATAAATTCAAGAATTTTTGTTGTTGTTGCCATAAAGCCTTGGTTTTGCACCCCAAAGGATTTTCATCTAACAAATTAAATTTGTCTCAGACATGAACAGGTTCCCACATTACACCAACCTACCCAAAACACATCCCACCCCCATCCTCAACTCAGCAAATGTAACTCACAAAGAGAGGGGAAAGTGAACCCTATAGAAATCATTTGTCTTTGGTTACTGATGGCGTCTCTTTCCCACTCCCCCCAAAATGTACTCACCCAGGCATTTCTTCGTGAGCACCTTGGTTGACTCACCCTCTAATCATCTCAGTTCCTTCCTACTGTACTGAAGCCTGCCTTTGTCCGCTAACCTTCATTGAAATTTCAGCAAGTCCCTTGTGTAGCTGGGCTTCGTGAGCAGCTGAGCCTGGGCAGCTGCTTTCAATTATGCTGGCTGTGCATGCATGGTTTGTGTCTAGGCAGCCTTCTGAGCTCTGTGGAAGGTCCTGTTACATAAATATCAGGAAGATCAGCAAGTTCTTATGTTACCTGTCATGAAATGTGTGGATGCTAGGCATGTTTCCTGAAAACTGTGGCAGACAGAAATAACTGGAGGGGAAATTTAAAATACTGTGTTTTTAGATAATAAAGCATTTCTGGTTCCTTCAGCTTTGCCCACAAGTACCATACAGTTGGATATTTTAAAAAAGAGAAGTTAGGACCCTTATGGATTTAATTATGTAGCCTGTTTTTTTTTCTGCAAGAGTGCCTGTTTCTCATTGTATTTAACAGTTCTGTCTCCATTCCACATTTGACTGTAATATTCTGTATGCTGAGGCATCAAAGGACTCTCTCTCTCTCTCTCTCTCTCTCTCTCTCATATATATATATATATATATGACATAAGCCTTGTGAAAGGGGGAGGGGCAATGCACTGTGTTCAATTGTATGGGTAAATTCACTAGAGTGCTGGCTAGAACACTGAGTTAGGCTTTTGGGGGGAATGAATCAGTATGGAGAGCTCTCATGAGAATGCCTTTCTGGTAGATAAATTCTTACCAGAGGTCACATTTTCAGCAGCCAGCCCTCTAGCCATTCTTCTCATTTTGTAGGCAATTTTATACAGTAGCTCCTTTTTACGATGTCATTCTGAAAGTTGGGCTTCTCATCTAGAACTGTATCTGTACTAACATAAGAGAACAGGATGTAATATGTCACTCAAATCACAGTGCAGAGTGACAGAACACATGAGCTTTGCCCCCAGCCTCACCATGGCTGTGTGACTGAGGCTGGTTCTGCAATCACACTATGTCCAAGTTTCCTTATCTGTGAAATGTGGCCTCTGTTACCCAGCGTTATACTAGAAAGGGAGCCCTTTTATGTTACATCTATTGCTGAGTTTCAGTCTTTCTTCTTTCCTGTAATAATACATACTCTTTAACAGTTACAGGATTAAAGCTGAAATGACCTTTTAAAGGTGGTTAATTCTGATTCTTGCTTTCTGAGTCCACCGTTAATCATGACTAGCTATTTAAACCATGGCTATGCCAAATTAAGGCCAGTATTAACAAAAACATTTGTTTCGACTTGTGTTAAAGCAGGCAGAGATGTTATAAACAGAAGCCAAAAGACTACTTGTGCATTTCCTTGGCTTTGCAGCATTCCCTAAGGATCCAGAAGTTCAGCTGAGTGGCCATCTGGAGGTTGGGAAGCCTGTCATGGTGAAGTGTTTGGTTCCTGATGTCTACCCATCTGATAGGCTGGAGGTAGAGCTATTCAAAGGTGACCATCTCCTGACGACGCAGATGTTTCTGGAAGCAATGGAGAAGAAGTCTTTGGTAACCAAGAGCTTGGAAGTCACCTTTACTCCTAGCACTGAGGACATTGGAAAAGATCTTGTTTGTCGAGCTAGATTATACACTGATTCTGAAACCAAAGAAAGGGAAACTGTCAAAAAACTGCAAGTCTACAGTAAGTACTTGCATGATGAGCTCTGGTCTATGGGAATTCAATCTCAGATATGTATTTTTATTTATTGTTACAATAAAGGTATCAAGTAGATTAACAAGAAACATGTAGTTTTACATTACTTATTTAGGACATGATATTACAAAAAATGGTGTTATTAGAAGAACAGGATACTGGGTTTGGGTTTAGAGCACTTGAATGTCTTGTCTCATTTTTACTGAGTGACCTTAAGGTTGTTCAATTCCTCTATTTTCCTGTTTATCAAGGAGGAATCATCATAACACTATCTGCTTGAATAGTAGGAAATGGGCTCAATTGTTTAAAAAAATTGACAAGAGAATTTCTTATTCTCTCTCTCTCTCTCGTGTGTGTGTGTGTGTGTGTGCACATGCACATGTGGTATGTATAAAAATGTGCTCACATGTAGGTGGAAAGGTGTTATGGTTTGTCTTCCAGCGTTTGGAGAGTGCTGGTGGATTTGAAGCTTTCTTCTTGTATTAGAATGGTGTCTCATGGAATTCATTGTGCTCTGCGAAAACTAAAATGTTTTCTACTCTGAGTCTTGTATTGGAAAGAGTAGGTGTCAAGTATAATATATTTACCCAAAGCATAATGAGGTAGAGAGAGCTTTTAGGAACCTTTTGAGAGAACAATCAAGATAGGGTATATTTCTCCTCACAGAATTCAACACTTTGAAAGAGAGGTGTAGGTAAGTCACTGAAGGACAGCTGTGTGGGAAGGAGCATTGGCATTTATCCGTAGGGGCACAGGACAGAACTACGACCATTGTGCCAATGCTAGTTACGTCCAGGAAGATTTTAGCTCAATAAGAGACTTTTCAATGATTAATGATATTCAAATGCCAGTTTCATGGTCCTGGGTAGGTTGTCTTCCTCAATAAGTGCTGAAGTTGACCTGAATGTGTTTTTGTCAAAAATTCCTACACGGGACTCCAGTTCTTAGGCAAGAGACTAAACCATGATATGTGAAGGACTTTTCTTAATTTCTATCTACCTGTGGCTCCTTGAAAACATCAAATATCAAAAACTATAATTTTTGGTTAGAAATTAGATTAGGTAATTTTTTAATGACTCAGTGATTCTTGACTCCTACTTTGAAGGTTTCTCAAATTTGTCGAGTCACATAAACACAATCTATAAGAGAAATAAATCATCCTCATTGGATAGAGATTATACTTAATGTCAACTCATGTTCTACCTTCAGCATCTCCCAGGAATACAGTTATCTCTGTATATCCCTCCAGAAGGCTTCAAGAGGGTGACACTGTGAGGATGACATGCTCCAGTGAGGGTCTACCAGCTCCTGAGATTTTCTGGAGCAAGAAATTAGATAATGGAAATCAACAGCCCCTCTCAGGAAATGCAACTCTCACCTTAGTGGCTATGAGAATGGAAGATTCTGGAATTTATGTGTGTGAAGGAGTTAATCTGATTGGGAGAGAAAAAGCAGAGGCGGAATTAATCGTTCAAGGTGAGTGAAATGTGAAGAGGTGCCGTTGTTGGGAGTTGAGCAGTAGTGACACAGTGCCAATGTTGAAATTCCTTCCTTACATTTGTTTGATGACCCATCATCTGGCAGTCATGTGACCTAACTTCCTTTCCAGCCAACCCTCTTGCCATTGCCTTAGTTTATAATTTTTCATTTGAGAGTTTTTGAGATTTCTCTTAAACAACAGAATTCTGCAAACCCAGCTGGGTTTCTGGCACTTTATATAAGTTATCTAGTCTTCACAAAAGAACTAAGAGGTATTTTCTATCCATTTTACAGATGGGAGAATGAAGTCTCAGATTAATAATGGCCATCAATTGACTGTACACCTACTGTTTGCCAACAGTTCTACATTCTACTTCATATGTTATCTCAGTCTTTATCATGTTCTGTGAGGTAGCTGAAAAATCTCAGGTGCAATATAGCTCATCATTTACATAGGATCAGATGGCTCTTTGCTGCACTTACAGGGTCCTCTTAATTCAAAATGCCATGCCTTTTCAACTGTAGCTAATTTTCTCTATTTTAAAGTTATTATTTAATTGGACATCCAAAAGTATATGCATGTATACATTTTGAATGTGTATGTTCATTAAACTGCAAGTTTCTAAACTCAAAACTCAGGAACTCCCCGTGTTTGTCTTTGAATTAATGAATGGCCGTCTAATATAGCACCTGACACATAGTAAGTGTTGAATAAATGTTAGCTGAATAAAAACATAAACTATAAACTTGGACAGCACATTATTGATCTATGAAAGCATAGATTTTAAGTTTAGGTGATTGAGGAAGTAAAATTCAAACTCAGGTGAGCGATTACTAAATGTGTGGGAGGCCCAGTGTCTATCCTAGAATAGTTGCATTCCATAATGCTAGACCTCATTTCAAATGGGCAAATAAAATGTGTTCTGGGCTTGGGAAGTGGTGCTTTGTATTATGAGTGACTAACAACCTCAACTGACTGTGCTGAAATTGGAAGGGCTTCTCCCCAGAAGCTCCCAGTACACACAGTGATGGATGTCAGTCACATTGCAAGCAGGAAGTGAATCTCCTAGTAAGTTCCTCATTCTCACACTAGCATAGACAGAAGTTGGACAACTAGGCTACTGTTTTGAATAATCTCTTCAAAAATCCAATAGCCTATTAATTCATTTGGAGGTAATTTAGGAGAACCTTCTTTGGAAAATAATACAATACCACAATTACACAAACTAAATGAGAAAAGCAATTTTCCTGGTACCGATAAGAGCCACACAAAGAGGTGTATATTTGTACTGGTGCAGAGATTTCCTCCTGTTCCAGCTTGCTAGAACATCTAGTGATTTTCTTTGGAGATTCATCTGTAACTTGCTGAGTTGTCCAACTACTCTCAGGATTTTCAGAGGTACAGCATCAAGATTTAGAATTCTTTCTCTCAAAATATGTCATTTCATTCCAAGTCTGTATGGCTGGAAGTTGGAGAACATTTTTGAATGCCTGAATCTCAGGTGTTTGCCCTTATCACTCAACTTTCTACCTGAGTGATTAAGTCTTTTGATAATACATCAAACAAAGTTGATGTCATCTTAATGCTTACCTCTTCCTTTTACTTTTATTGTGATTCTGTGTGATCTTCAAAAATACTACTTTATATTGGAATTCCGTTATGTAGATATATATGAAATGGGTATGTTTAAGATAGTGTATCTAATTAGAGGACATTTTGGTGCAGTTTCCCCTGTAACTATTTAAGATGTATCACATGAGGATGACTTGACTTAGCTGTTCTAGGAACAGAAAAACTGGACTCTCAAGTCCAACCCATCTCACATCAAATCCCAGTTATTTCACTTGCAAATTTAGCTTAAGCCAATTAGCACTTCTGAGCCTAAATGTATTAAAGATGAGAAAGGGAGAAAGGATGAGGGGATGGAAGAAGAGGGAAAAACATGAGCAGAAGAATTAGATAAATAAAAGTACCCGTTAATGAATTGTTCTGGGAATTAAGTGAGATAATGCATGCATATAAAGCAGAAT